AGTTTTGAAGGTGGCCTTGCTTTATACAAATTGCTCTACAGCCTTATTAGAAAGAGAAAAGGAATCTTGGAATTCTACAATTCTAGTTTTGGGTGGTGGCCTGGTTTCAAATCCATTCCTTTAAAAATCCAATTAGAAACTAAAGAGAAAACTTGGAATCCTGCAATTCTACTTTGTTATATATAGATTCCTTTGAAAATCAAAAGCAGAAATTAAACAGAAACCTTGGGTTCCTGCAATTCTACTCTTGCAGGTGGTATTGTTGTATATAGATTCCTTTTAAAATCCACTTAGGAATCAAAGAGAAATCTTGGAATCTTGGAATTCTGGGTTTGGAGATGGCTTTTGGGGTTATAGTAATGCCTTTTCAAATATTGTAAGAAAGAAAAAAGGGAAACTTGAATCCTGGAACCACAGTTTGGGAGGTGGACCTGCTTTATCTATATTCCTTATAACAATCAATCAAGAATACAAGAAGAATCTTGAAATCCTAGAGTTCTAGTTTTGAAGGTGGCGTTGCTTTATACAAATTGCTTTACAGCCTCATTAAAAAGCAAAAAGGGATCCTGGAATTCTATAATTCTAGTTTTGGGTGGTGACCTTGTTTTAAATCCATTCCTTCAAAAATCCAAGTAGAAACTAAAGAGAAAACTTGGAATCCTGCAATTCTACTTTTACAGGCGGCTTTGTTTTATATAGATGCATCTTAAAATCCATTTAGAAATTAAAGGGAAAACTTAGAATCCTGCAATTCCACTCTGGCAGGTGGCATTGTTTTATATAGATTCCTTTTAAAATCCAATTAGAACTCAAAAGGAAAGCTTGGTTGCTTTATATAGATTCCTTGTAAAGCAAAATTAGAAACTAAAGAGAAAACTTGGAATCCTGCAATTCTACTTTGTTTTATATAGATTCCTTTCAAAATCAAAAATAGAAATTAAAGAGACAACTTGGAGTCCTGCATTCTACTTTTGCAGGTGGAATTAGAAGAGAAAGCTTGGAATTCAGCAGTTCTGCTTTCAATCTGCCTCTTCAGGTTTGGGCAAGAAAATACTGCCAAAGCCTGAAAGGGTACCCAAAAAAACCAAAAACTTTTTGCCAAAACCTGAAGAGGTACCAAAAAACAAAACAAAAAAAAACAAGAAATTTCATGTCTTGGAGGCCCCCAGGCCTGAAGATAGCAAAATCTTTGTTTTTGGTGGTTTTTTGGTACTTCTTCAGGTTTTGGCAATTTTTGTTTTTGTTTGGTACCTCCTCAGGTTTTGGCAATAAAATCGTTCCAAAACCTGAAGAGGTACCAAAAAAACAACAAATGCTAAAACTTGAGGAGGTACCAAAAACAATTATCAATATCACTATACTCTTTGACACCACTCCTGTCCAACTCCCGGATTCCGGTTTTGGATTTCAGGGTTCTGCTTAAGGAAGACAAGCTAGAATCCAAAGCCTCTTCGAATATGAAAAGAGCCAAAAAACACGGTATTTACAGTGTGTTGTGCTCTTATAGTGGTCACCTCTGATCCTCAGAGATTGATCTGGAGACTTTTAAAAGCTCTCCAGGTGGATCTTGGG